AAGTGTCTGCACGTAGAAGACTTGGAGCAGAATCGCCATAAATCACTCTGCTCCAGCGCTACCCCTGCACCCACCCAAGCAATTAAAGGATAACAAGCCTGGAATGCAGAGTTTCAAAATGTTGTTTATTTGTTTACAAATGTGTACTCCACCTTTGGGGTGGAGTGGGGCCTCCAACGCAGCCTTTACCAAGTAAATCAGTAAAACCATCAGCAGTATAAAGGGGGGAAATATTCAATATAACAATAAAATTAAAAGCAGCATCCAAACATTCAGTTCAGAGTTAACATGCATTTTAAAAGCCTAAGGAAAGAGATGCAGGTGGCGCTGTGGTCTAAACCACAGAGCCTAGGGCTTGCCGATCAGAAGGTCGGTGGTTCGAATCCCCGCGAGCTCCCGTTGCTCGGTCCCTGCTCCTGCTAACTTGGAGCTCCTGCTAACGTCAAAGTACAAGTAGATAAATAGGTACTGCTCCAGCGGGAGGGTAAACAGCGTTTCCGTGCGCTGCTCTGGTTTGCCAGAAGTGGCTTAGTCATGCTGGCCACATGACCCGGAAGCTGTATGCCGGCTTCCTCAGCCAGTAAAGTGAGATGAGCGCCGCAACCCCAGAGTCGTCCGCAACTGGACCTAACGGTCAGGGGTCCCTTTACCTTAAAGAAAGAGAAAGGTATTTGTGTGGTGCTGAAAATGTAACATGGGCATGATACAGATGGACAGGTCAGTCAATTTTGGTTTCTCTTCGTTTCTCATTTTCTTAAGTTCAGCCCTTCACATTTCCACCTCAGTTTGTGAATCCGTTTAAAAATCCTTGAAAGAACTAATCAGCATTTCAGTGCAAATTGCTCCTATCACCAACATGTTTTGCAAAGCATTTTCCCCTAATGCAATGCATTTTGTAGGTTATTTCCACAAATATTTGCCTTTCTATGCAGACGTAAGCCTAGTATATGCAATTTCTGCACACATTGGTTGGGGAAAGGTTGTGAAATTCGTATACATGTGAATTTCAAAGAATAGCTGCATTTTGGTTCTCATATCATTTCAGAAAGTGCAGATTTGACCGATTTGGCTTTAAATAAGAGAAGTGTAGGGCAGGACTACACTGCAAAAAATTGCAGAAGCACGAATTGCACAAATTGTTTCAGAAAGAGCAAATCAATTCAGCTGACCTTAAATTTGAGCTGAATCAAATTTCTCTCCCATCCCAAAATCCTGAGAAGTGTAGTTTGTTCGGGTGCTGGGAATTGTAGTTCTGTGAGATGGAAACTACAATTCCCATGAGGAATCTGGAGGACATCATCCAAAAAGGACCTCACTGAATGGACAGTTAGATGAGTTAAGGTTCTTACAAATGTAAGCCTGGAAAATGGAATGTCTGGGAATTTTATGTTAAGGTTTCCCTCTTAACTACCATGGCATATAAGGTCTCTATGCACCTCCATGTTACCTGGGTCCTTCCCCCCCAACCTTCTTCCCTTGCAATATGAGAGCAGCAGTGATGTATTCAGGGATTATGGAGGCACCTAACATCTGGGGCTGTGAGCCCTGGGATCAATGCTGGCACACCAGTGCTGGTTTCAGAGGGAGGGCTATGGATCAAACTACATATTCCATTAGAAGAAGCATGCTTATTTAAGTCCACTCTCAGACGAAGGCAGCTGCAAGAGGGGAGTGAAATAACCATCACCCCATAGAATGCTCTTGAAGAAAATTACCCCCAAACCTGCCATTTACCCCTGAATGTGGATATTTGCTGTCCTGCAAGAGATAATACATGATAGAGATAGACAGAGATAGATAGATACAGTGGTACCTCAGGTTACATACGCTTCAGGTTACAGACTCCGCTAACCCAGAAATAGTGCTTCAGGTTAAGAACTTTGCTTCAGGATGAGAACAGAAATTGTGCTCCGGCGGCACGGCGGCAGCAGCAGGCCCCATTAGCTAAAGTGGTGCTTCAGGTTAAGAACGGACCTCCGGAACGAATTAAGTACTTAACCCGAGGTACCACTATAGATAGATAGATAGATAGATAGATAGATAGATATAGATAGATAGATTTGTTGTTGTTGTTGTTTAGTCGTTTAGTCGTGTCCGACTCTTTGTGACCCCATGGACCAGAGCACACCAGGCACTCCTGTCTTCCACTGCCTCCCGCAGTTTGGTCAAACTCATGTTGGTAGCTTCGAGAACACTATCCAACCATCTCGTCCTCTGTTGTCCCCTTCTCCTTGTGCCCTCCATCTTTCCCAACACCAGGGTCTTTTCCAGGGAGCTTTTCCAGGGAGCCTCCAGCACCAGAATTCAAAAGCATCAATTTTTCGGCGATCAGCCTTCTTTATGGTCCAGCTCTCACTTCCATACATCACTACTGGGAACACAATAGCTTTAACTATACGGACCTTTGTTGGCAAGGTGATGTCTCTGCTTTTTAAAATGTTGTCTAGGTTTGTCATTGCTTTTCTCTCAAGAAGCAGGCGTCTTTTAATTTCGTGGCTGCTGTCACCATCTGCAGTGATGATGGAGCCCAAGAAAGTAAAATCTCTCACTGCCTCCATTTCTTCCCCTTCTATTGGCTTGGAATTATTATTATTATTATTAATTATATTTGTACCCTGCCCATCTGTGACCCTGGAATCTGTGCCACAGGGCAGCTTCAACAGCTGAAGAGGCAAGCCTATTTTGGGAGCTGAACTGCAGCTTGCCTCTTTGAAAGCAGGAGCAGTGAATACCTCCGTTTGCAGGTTGTTCCTGGCATCTCCATGCCTTGTCTTCAGGAATCTGCCCACGTCCTTTGCAGGGCTGATAGCTAACAACTGTCTGAGCCCCCTTCAAAAAACTGGGTTTGGGGGGTGGGGGGTGCTGAGCACTGGTCAGCTAGACAGTCACCATTGGAGATAATGTCACCTGGGAGAGTGTTGCTGTCAAGGAAGGACACCAGGATGAGGCCACCAGGACAGAGCAAGACCATGAAGGCAGGGGTTGGACTCCTACACCCATCAGCTCCAGCCAGCATGCCCTATGACTGTGGATGATGGATGTTGTAGTCCAACGACTTCTGGAAGACACCATGTAGTCTTGCACTAGTGCATCGTGCTTCCTCAAACTTTGAGCTGACACTCACAGCGTGGCATAGCGTGGGTTGCTGGTGCCCGGGGCAGGGCGAATGTTGTGACCCCTGGTGAACTGGGCAGCTGGGGTGAGGGGTGGGGGTGTCAGCAGGGCACGCATGGAGCCCATGCAGAGGCTAAATGGAGCTCACCTCCAATGGGCTCCTTGCCCGCTGCCTCTATGCACCCGCCCACTAGGCCAACCCACCTGCCGCTGCACCTCAGTTGCCAAGGTTCCAAGCCTGTCTTGGGGGTGCTTGATTGTGCCACCTCAAAAATGTGTGCCCAGGGCCATGCCCCCTCATGCTTCACCTCCTGTTAACTCTATCAACTCTATCTATCTATCTATCTATCTATCTATCTATCTATCTATCATCTATCTATCTATCTATCTCTATCATCTATCATCTATCATCTATCTATCATCTATCATCATCTATCATCTATCATCTATCATCTATCATCTATCATCTATCTATCTGTCTATCTATCATCTATCATCTATTATCTATCATCTATCTCTCTATCTCTCTATCTCTCTATCTCTCTATCTCTCTATCTCTCTATCTATCTATCTATCTATCTATCATCTATCTATCTTTTGAATTCTGGTGCTGGAGGAGACTCTTGAGAGTCCCATGGACTGCAAGAAGATCAAACCTCTCCATTCTGAGGGAAATCAGCCCTGAGTGCTCACTGGAAGGACAGATCCTGAAGCTGAGGCTCCAATACTTTGACCACCTCATGAGAAGAGAAGACTCCCTGGAGTAGACCCTGATGTTGGGAAAGATGGAGGGCACAAGGAGAAGGGGACGACAGAGGACGAGATGGTGGGACAGTGTTCTCGAAGCTACCAGCATGAGTTTGACCAAACTGCGGGAGGCAGTGGAAGACAGGAGTGCCTGGCGTGCTCTGGTCCATGGGGTCACGAAGAGTTGGACACGACTAAATGACTAAACAACAACAATAATTCCATAGAATGCCCTGGCTCTCTGCAGACGCTGTTTCAGGTGCAGTTTCCTCCAGCGTCGGCCTTGCAGCTGGATGCAATGAACAGCATACCTGGGAATCCAAGAGATAACCCACTCCTTTCTGTACCGTTCCTCCACGAATGTTTGCAATTAAGTGTTTTTACAAAGAATCAGGTAGATTTGTTCAGTTTCTATTTGGAGGAAACATCCAGCCAAAGCTAAAGCTTTGGGGATTTATTAGCAACATTTCTCTCTCTCTTCTCTCTCTCTCTCTCTGTGCTGTTTTTCTTATTAATAAAATATTTTCCTAAAGCAGCATTTAGCCGGATTGCTTGCTTTTTTTAAAAGGAGAGGAGAAAAAGGCTGGTTGCATGACCTCATTCGAGCCTCTACGATCGGGGGATGCCTGCGGGTTGCATATGGCTACGCCGCCCCCTACAGGCGTTTTAGGGCAAGTGCTTCCCAGGTGGAATTCCCATGGAACAATCCATCTCCCATTCCCTGTCTCCTTCCTCCTTGCTCTGGGTAGGGCCCTTAGAGAGAGAGATTGGGGAAGTGGAATAGGAAGCCAACAAATGCAAGTTGGGGATTTTCCACACGGTTGTCCAAGAATCAGAAAACCTAAACAAATCATCCATATTAAAAAGTAAAAACAATCTTCGTGGCAAAAAAAAAAAAAAAAGGCTGAAGGCTGTTTACAGAGGCTGGAACTGCACTAAGCATCAGAGGAGGGGGGGAGCTTTCCCTTCCAGGCCTGCTGACTGCAGTCTGAGGAGTGGCAGGCGCTGGCAATGGGAAATGCCAGATTCAAGAGCCCAGATTATTGGCAAGGCTGAAAAAGCTCTGCTTGGTTATTTAAAAGCAGCTTAGAATTTCCTGACTTTTAGCAGGGACCTCTGCATCCCGAATAGCATAAGAAGCAAGACAGCTCATTTGGTGGAGCATGAGACTTTTAATCTCAAAGTCGTGGGTTCGAGTCCCACGTTGCGCAAAAGATCACTGGATTTCAGGGTTTTGGACTAGATGATCCAACTCCACAGTTCTGTTTTCCCCTTTCATTCATTCATTTATTTATTATTAATGTTGCAATTCATATAAGGACGTGGGTGGCACTGTGGGTTAAACCACAGAGTCTAGGGCTTGCCGATCAGAAGGTTGGCGGTTTGAATCCCCGCAATGGGGTGAGCTCCCGTTGCTCGGTCCATGCTCCGGCCAACCTAGCAGTTCGAAAGCACGTCAAAGTGCAAGTAGATAAATAGGTACCGCTCTGGCGGGAAGGTAAACGCCATTTCCATGTGCTGCTCTGGTTCGTGACTGGACTTAATGGTCAGGGGTCCCTTTACCTTTACCTTTACATATATGGAATCTTTACATAATGATACATATACATTATATGCGTAAATTCACATCTTCCCATTTCTTTATGACTTCCTTGTTATTATTTTGTAACTTTATTATTGAGATTGTAATTATGTATCTTAATCATTAAACATTCAGTCTCATATATCTGCTTAACTTAATTTAACTTTGTGAAATCAGTCTGTACATATCAATAAATTCTTGTTGGAGCATCTTTTGGTCGTGTATTCTTCTGCACATATCCATTCCTGTTTGAGATTTTCTAAGTTCTATGACTCTATAAGAAGAGCCCTGCTGGTTATCTCCTCCAGCGTCCTGTTCTCACAGCAGCTGACCAGATGCCTGAGCAAAACCAGCAAGCAGGATTCGAATACAAGAGCGCCGTCCCTTCCTGCAGTTTCCAGCAACTGGTACACAGAAGTATTGCTGTCTCTGGCTGTGGCATTAGAGCATAGCCCCAAGCTAGGAGCCATCGATAACCCTCTCCTCCATGAATTTGTCCAATCCTCTTTTAAAGCCATCCACATTTGATAGACGTGTGAAAAAATGAAAAAAAAAAGAGACATGATATATGCTGTTGTTGTTTAGTCGTTTAGTCGTGTCCGACTCTTCGTGACCCCATGGACCAGAGCACGCCAGGCACTCCTGTCTTCCGCAGTTTGGTCAGACTCATGTTCGTAGCTTCGAGAATACCGTCCAACCATCTTGTCCTCTGTCGTCCCCTTCTCCTTGTGCCCTCCATCTTTCCCAACATCAGGGTCTTTTCCAGGGAGTCTTCTCTTCTCATGAGGTGGCCAAAATATTGGAGCCTCAGCTTCAGGATCTGTCCTTCCAGTGAGCACTCAGGGCTGATTTCCTTCAGAATTGATGGGTTTCATCTTCTTGCAGTCCATGGGACTCTCAAGAGTCTCCTCCAGCACCATAATTCAAAAGCATCAATTCTTCGACGATCAGCCTTCTTTACGGTCCAGCTCTCACTTCCATACATCACTACTGGGAAAACCATGGCTTTAACTATACGGACCCTTGTTGGCAAGGTGATGTCTCTGCTTTTCAAGATACTGTCTAAGTTTGCCATCGCCTTTCTCCCAAGGAGCAGGCGTCTTTTAATTTTGTGACTGCTGTCACCATCTGCAGTGATCATGGAGCCCAAGAAAGTAAAATCTCTCACTGCCTCCATTTCTTCCCCTTCTACTTGCCAGGAGGTGATGGGACCAGTGGCCATGATCTTCGTTTTTTTGATGTTGAGCTTCAGACCATATTTTGTGCTCTCCTCTTTCATCCTCATTAAAAGGTTCTTTAATTCCTCCTCACTTTCTGCCATCAAGGTTGTGTCATCTGCATATCTGAGATTGCTGATATTTCTTCCGGCAACCTCAGATATGCAGATGACACAACCTTGATGGCAGAAAGTGAGGGTTTTAAATGTGAAAACCGGTGAAGGGATGGAGGGAAGTCTGGGCGCGACAAGGCACATGGTAAATAAGAAGAGACATGAATGTTGAATGTAAGAGTTTTGTTTTTTATTTGTTCATGTTACAGAAAATCAATAAAAAGCATTTTAAAAAAATAATAAAGCCATCCATGTTGGTGGTCCTCCCTGCCTCCTGAGTTCCATAGGTTAACTATGGGCTGCTCTCCGAGGCACTGCTATCTGGCTCACTTGTCATTTCTTAGTCTTAAGAAGACTTTGAATCACACACTTGTAAGGGACCCTGAGGATCATCTAGTCCAACCCCCCTGCAATGTAGGAATATGCGGCTGTCCCATACGGGGATCAAACCTGCAACCTTGGCGTTCATGGCACCACACTCTAACCAGCTTCTGGTTGGTGCCCAGTGACATCCATGCCATTTAACAGGCATATTTTATATAAAACTGTCTGCCACTTTGGCCCTCGTGTTTAGCACAATGCAAATGTCCGCTCCGACACCCAGAATCCTTGCAATCCGCAAACCTTCATACCTGCAGGCCATTTTGCTAGTTAATTTAACAACAGCCAATATATTATAAGATCTGCACTGTCCATTCCAGCCTCTCTCAGAGTCACGCCAAGGGAGTCATTCTGTTACCCTACCCATACCATACCTTCCAACATTCCTCAGATGAAAATAGGGACATTTCCCCAAAACTGACCCTCCTTGACCCCCCCCCCATTTTTGCCTGCCCCCCCGAATTTCCTATCAGAAGAAGGGCAAGTGCCCCCACCACTTACACCAACAGGACTCAGAACACACACCCTCCACTGTCCCGAGAAAACCCTGTGACCCCAATTTTATTTTATTTTATTCTTTGGTAAAAAAAGCCTGGTCAGCACCGGGCAAAAATGTTCCTCTTTAACCAGGTCTTTGGTTGATTTGATTGACACCCTAGGCCCTTTTAAAATGTGTTGGGCAGGAAGGTTATTGGGTTGTAAAAAGGTAAAGGTAAAGGGACCCCTGACCATTAGGTCCAGTCATGAATGACTCTGGGGTTGCGGCGCTCATCTCGCTTTATTGGCCGAAGGAGCCGGCGCACAGCTTCCAGGTCATGTGGCCAGCATGAGTAAGCCACTTCTGGAGAATCAGAGCAGCGCACAGAAATGCCGTTTACCTTCCCGCCGGAGCGGTACCTATTTATCTACTTGCACTTTGATGTGCTTTCGAACTGCTAGGTGGGCAGGAGCAGGAACCGAGCAACGGAAGCTCACCCCGTCGCGGGGATTTGAACTGTCGACCTTCTGATTGGCAAGTCCTAGGCTCTGTGGTTTAACCCACAGCACCACCCTTTAAATTTTGATTACCGTATTTTTCCGTGTATAACATGCCCCTGTGTATAAGACGACCCCTGTTTTTGGGGACACCAAATTAAGGAAATGGGGGGGCGGAGATTGCCCAGACTTGTTGAGCTGACATTTGCACACCTGCCTGACCGCCACTGCCAATCGCACGCCTCGCCAAAGTCACCAATCATCTGCCTGCTTGCCACAAAGAGCCGCCTATTACCGTACTTGCCCAATTGCCGCAGCAGCAGCCAATCGCCAGCAGGCCTTGCCGCAGCCACCAGTCACCTGCCCAATCGCCGATGAAAATCTCCTGCTCACGGCTGCCACCAATCGCCCGTCCCTCCTCTGCACTATCCATGTATAAGACAGCCCCCAATTTTTAAATAATAAAAAAATCGCCTTATACACGGAAAAATACGATGTGTACTTTGTTGTTTTACATTCTGATTTTATCCTGTGAACAGTCCTGAGTCCTGCAGGTATAGGGGAGGAGGAGGAGACAAAAAGAAAAGCACACACCAGTAAATAAATTTGAAAAAGTGGCAAGATTAGACGCGGACACACAAAGCACTTAAAAAATAATAATCCAAATATTCTAAGCAATACGTTTTCTAAATCTTTCATAATATTTGTGTCAGATTGTATGGGAAAAATATGGAATAACAGATACAATCTTGCTTAAAATGTATATAGAAAGTGCAGTGTAAGCGATGGAAGTCAATGAAATTTTATTATTGAGAGATTTGTAGAATAAATTTGGAAGAAATTCTTCCAACTTTTCTTCTTTTTTCCCTCTTCTTTTTTCTTTTTATTTTTCTTTTCTTCGTTTTTTCTCTTTTGTTCTTTTTTATATTTATGTGCTTATCTGAAAGATATATGTATGTATTTGCAATATTTTGCTTATATTTTGCAATAATTATGTTAAATAGGTAAAGGTAAAGCGACCCCTGACCATTAGGTAGGTCCAGTCGTGGCCGACTCTGGGGTTGCGGCGCTCATCTCGCTTTATTGGCTGAGGGAGCCGGCGTACAGCTTCTGGGTCATGTGCCAGCATGACTAAGGCGCTTCTGGCGGACCAGAGCAGGACACGGAAACGCCGTTTACCTTCCCTCCAGAGCGGTACCTATTTATCTACTTGCACTTTTACGTGCTTTCAAACTGCTAGGTTGGCAGGAGCAGGGACCGAGCAACAGGAGCTCACCCCGTCGCAAGGATTCGAACCACCGACCTTCTGATTGGCAAGTCCTAGGCTCTGCGGTTTAACCCACAGCGCCACCCGTGTCCCTAATTATGTTAAATAAAATTTTAAAAAATTAAAAATAATAATAATAACAATAATCCAGACTCCTTGCACTGCATTCTCCCTTTCTTAATGCCCAGGGCAGCCCTGTCCTCTGCCTGCCCCTCAGAGCTAGCACATTGTGTGGGGCTGGTCTCGATGGTGGCAGCCCCTCCACCTCCTCCTCGCCTGTTCTCCAAGAGCCGCTACAAGCTGCCAAGGAAGGAGGCTGGCAGCAGCGCAATTGCTTGGGACCAGCAGCAACTCCCCCTCCTCCCTGAGTTCAGCAGCTGCAGCCCTGGCAGGGGAAATAGGGACATTCCGGGATCTAAACAGAAGCCAAGATGGAAAATGGGGACACTTAGAGGGTACACTGCCCATCCCGCTCTCTGCCAGGCCCAGACAGAGGGGGGGCATATGGGCCCCTTGGCCCGGGCCTCCAATTCCAAAGGGGTCTCGGTCAGCATATTCACAATCACAGGGGATGCACTAGGGCAAACGCGGAGGTGCAAAGGCTGCGGTGGCGGTGGGCGGATCCCCTGGGGCCATGGCTGGTGGTGCGAGAGAAAAGCTTCCCTGGCGTCCGG